ACACCGTGGAGGGGAGCTCATTCCATAGCCGGATGGTACGTGGCAAAAAAGATCTCTGGAAACGCACTGTGGATGACCGCAGTGGCTCCAGGTAGTATGGATGAACTCTACTACTACTACTACATAGATTACATGTACTGTGAATTCGTCGAAAAGTAATTTAAGAATAAAATACAGCTATAATCTATTGCGTTTTAAAATAGTAGCTATTGTGTATGCCATTGAAAAAAAAAACCAATGAACAGCAAATATTATATTATTAATAAAAATTGTAAATAATTGAATACAGATGTAAATTCTTATCATATTTACACTAAGTCTTCGTTTTATTTTAGTAATTATATATTGGTATGTGTGTAATTAAATTAAATGACATGTAATTGACATTAAAGTGTTGCATGGAGCAAAAAAAAATACATCATTTCTTAAAACAAAGGTTTTAAACAATTATGCTACAACAGATAACCGAACCGCTCTTGTGTGAGTGCTATTCCTCGTTACACTTATCGGTTTAGATCTATACATACTACGATCTGACCATTGATTGTATATAAATACACAATGATTAACCACATATAATGTCGTGTAGTCGGTAATCGACAATGTAAAGCATAAGGTGCTGGAGTATTCTACTCAAACTATGATTTGATGAGCACAAATTGGATCAAAGTCTTAGTTATCAGGGAAGAGTACATATACCTATAGAAAAGCATTTACTCCACGAAAGCTAGAAATACAATGAAGCATTAAAACCCCAAAAAGACCCATAAATGGGGATACAAACTGTATGCGGTTGATGAAGTACTAATCAGGCTATTTTGTTATTCGCATCCGGTTACGAATTGTATTTATGGACAATGAGTAAATAAATAAATAAATTAACATTGTGCATTAAAAAAGAAACTAGTAATACTACATCCCAGAAGTAAAAAATTTTCAATATAACTTTTATAAATACAATAAGGCAAAAATATATTCATATTTTCATAAATAATTTCATTCTATTAAGACAGACATGATTCGCGCCTTCGTTATAAAGTTTTGGATAGGCCCTAGTGTATGTTTGAACGAAAAAAATTACAAATTCATTTCTTTTAGTCTATCTACAATACATTAGTATAAAAATATATTTGTTACTATATTATTGAACTAAAACCTGTAGCCTTGTGTGAGTGACCAACTGCGCTGCGACGCGAGGCTTATCGGTCCCCATTTATATGAGGTCAGTGAGCGAATAGATTTTTTTCAAAGGATTAAATAAATGTTACACTGATAACCGTTTAAATCAAAATATATGACTTGAATTTCATAGTCACATACTTTCGCAAGTTTTGTTGTAACAATGAAATCTAGTTATATCAATTGTTTGCGACTAAAGGAATTTTAATATTTATTTGAATCAATTACCACAAAAAGACTGCCATCGGACATGGGTTAACCGGTCTCTGTATATACGCCATTACTATAGAAAATTGTTTACAACGGGAGTCCTATATAACAACACAAGTTCACTTGATAATGATGCTCATTTAGCACAAACCTTAATATATTAATTTAATGCAGTTCACATTAATTCACATAGAAGCCTTTGATAAGTAAAGCGACAGAATACAGTTTAAAAACAATTATACTGTTAGATGTAACATAAAATATAAATTAACTTTAACATAAATTAATATTCTAAAATCACCAGTCATTACTTCCAAGGTCAGTAAACAACTTGTCTTTGATCTTTGGTCGGGGATCTTCTGTTATGCTCGTTTCGACAGCTCCAACCTTACCGAGTATGTATTCGAGTTCTGGAAATTCAAATACATTTATTTTATTACTTTCCACTAGCTCATCTCAATTTGACTATAATCACTAATTCTCTCGCGGTTTAGACTCATTTTATTCATTATATTTTCATTTTTGTCTATTTTTCAATGTCAATATAATTTAATTCATACATAAATCTATAACAACCACTACAAAAGTGAATTGATTCACAAAGTTCACATAGAACTATTGGTCATGCTATATAAGGTATCAAGCTATCAATTACCATAATTAAAAAATTGATTTATTCATTGGTTCAGGTATACAAATTGGTGTAGTGAAACGTAAACTACAATACACTGTATTGAAGTTCACTCTTGGTGGCAAAACGGATGCTTCTCAATGGAGACACATGTTATACTGCTACTCACTGTATTAAATTTGCTATTGTTGAGATGCAAGCCTTGTGGTGCTATTTGTGTATTGTTATATGATAACAATCACTAATAGCAATCCGTACTAAAAATGTATACAATTAAAATAATTAAATAAAAAAAACTATAAAAATCAATTCTCATAGCTTACCATCACAAGTCAAACTGGTGCCCCTTAGTTCGTGGGACCCCACAAACTGCTGCTTCATTTCGCCCTCAAAGTAAACAAATAAACTAGGCAGATTCCTCTCTGGGAAGTTTGGGATGCAAGTCTGAGCAATGGCTTTCAAGAATTTTGTGTAGGGAAACTTGACTGCTAATTCTCGTAGATGTTGATTTATTAGTGCACATTGTTGTATTCTGAAATTTTTTGATTTATATGATTGATAATAATCATTGGAGCAGTCTGCAGATAAAGGGTCATAATGGCCCAATGACATAAAAAGTCAGTGCTAGGTTATCTAGAGGAAAAAAACTACATACATTGATATTGGTTTATCTAATGTCTTTATATCTTATTCATCGTTCCACTCACCCCTGTTTGTACAAATGAATGACCACCCAAATGTCTTGACCAGCCTTATTAACCTCCTGCACATAATCTTGACCAGAGACTTCTCGCACTTCTCCGATTCTAGGCTTCTCAGACAGCTTCTTAATTTCTGCTAATCGTTTTCTGCGGTACTCTTCTATAACAGCCTCATCTTCTGAATCTTCAAGTTCGTCCAATCCATCAAGGTCTAACTCAGATAATTGTTTTTGTTCTGTGAATAAGTAAAAATTGTTATTGGAGACCGTCACAGTCAGTCCAGTTAATTATGTAGTTTATAGTGTTCAAAACACTTGCCAAGGGTGGCTTGTACTCTCGTCCTCAGCATACAACTATCTATGATGGTGTTTTGGCTGATGTTAAAAAAAGTGTCCCTATCAACTGAAATGGCATTCTACCAATGAAATGAACTCATTAACTATCCCATCAATTCTCTGCACCCAATAGGTGATGATTACTACATTTTTGAGGAGTCACTTCTTAAATTCGTAGGGTTAATTGTTCAATATGTCAGAATGGAAAACAAAACACAAAGTTCATTGTAAATTCATAGCTGAACATTTATAATTATAATACTACAGAGTGTGACTAACATTCAGTCAGATCTTTAAGAAAAATATTTCTTTATACATTAGTAGTGTCTCAACATGTCTTGTTATTCCTGAATATTTTCAATTTAGTTTATATATAAATTCAAGCAAATGTATTTTGATGTAACAAGTAATCACCAAAAAATTAATAATTGGTGAATATTCATTATCTATGCTAGTACAAAAATGAATGCGTCCAACCTAACTGTACTTACTAGAGCTAATTTAGGTGATGAGTCTCGCTTGGCTGAACATTTCATAAGGTGTTGGATGCAAAGAATTTTCTTAACAAAATGAATGAATTGCAGAAAGAAGACTATTAATTTGGTGACTGTTTAATTCCAGGATTAATTTAGGGTACTGGTGATGTATATCAATTACAAACTAGACTAGTTAGTCTAAAGGAATGTATAATGAATAATTAAATAATGGGTACTTAAACCAAAAAGTTTCTAAGTTCATTAAATTCAGTGTTTCCGGGTAATGATTCACTGTTGAGCTGATTTTACTGATGAGCCAATACATATTGCATTTACATCGTAGAGCTTAACCTCAAAAATTCGTATTTGTTGACCTACTTTCAGCTTCCTTTTGCTGTATTGTGTCCTCTATCATGTTCACAATATCGGCCTCCGAAAACTCCGCTTCTTTCTGCGGTATAATACCCATCTTTCGAAGGGTATCGTTCCATTCTGTATCTTCATTGGGGTTCTAAAAATAAACAAAATAAAATTAAACTTTTCACTTTAATGTACTGCACATCATTTTACTGATAAGTTCCATTTATTATACCTGCATTTTATTAAATTAACAATTAAAATTCTAATAGTTGAGATACATAAACTTGCTCAAGCTCTTCAGGAAATTTGACACCAGATATTTTTTCCATAGACTTAACATTGAGACAGGCAAAGGAAACTTATGAAATATGTGGTGAAATATGTAGAACAATAGGTACTTATTGAACCTGTCATTAAAATTTAGAAAGAGTTTTAAAAGCCATTTTCAGTGAATTTTGTTTTTCCACACACACACAAAGAATAAATAGTTAGCCTATAAATACTCTACAATTTCAAACTGATCAAAAAAAGCCAAACATTGAACACATCCCAATACCATTTGAAAATAATGTGAAAAACTTAGCATGCAAGGACTAGATCGATGTCATTTAGATATTAAGAGAACTGAAATGTCTATGAGATTCAGTAACCATTTCATCACCTCGTCTGTCCAAGGAATATGATTCTGAGAAAGAACCAATAAAATCACTAGCATAACTTTAAATGAAAAAGCTGGCTACGCCCTCTATAAACAAAGCTTTGATTTTAGCACTTTTATTTGACACTTTTATCGTTTAGCAAGTTTAAGTAATTTGTACAAATTACCTAAATAAATTATTTGACTCCACAAAAGTAATCATTTAATACTTTCTCAATTTCTATCTCTATGTATAATTACTTCCTAAAGATGATTGATATAAAGGTCCAGGCCATAAAATCATAAAGAATATCACAAAAATGACAGTTTCAAATGAAATCACGGCTTTAACCCATAGCTTTAACCGGTTTTTTGTTTTTACTCCAGAATTGACAAATGACACGTCTATCAATTTACGTAAATGTCATCTTGTCAATATTGTCAACCAACCTGCGTCGTGTTGGAAAAATTTTACGTCGCTATGTTCAGTGAAGTTAGTGTCCGTAATAAATAAATTGAATATGGCTGAAAACGAAGGACATAAACATCGGGAACGCTATGACCATGAGGGAGAAGGTAAATTATGTTACGATTTTTCTGCGTATAGTCCGTGGTTAGTGTGTTCGACGTCCGCGCGAGGTTGAGACGTCTCCAGTACCCTCGTGCTGCATTTGTGACATTGAAATTGGGTTCTTTTTATAATTGCTGCGTGGATCGTGGTCCTGGGCTGCCAGGAACGGAGCGCACGGTCAACCTCGAGCTTTGACTGGTTCATTAGGCATCAAACTTCGTGAGAATGACCGGGGGATCCGAGAAGACGTTCGACTCAGGTATTTGAGTGTTGTTTGTTTGTTAATGTAGTTACTTCGCTACTCCGGACTTAACGTTTAGCCGCGTGATACATGACTGTTGTTATGTACTAGATTTAACCTTTCATAATTACTTGAACTTTGGTCTTTCGTCGAGTATTGCATCAAACACTTTTTTCGGTATTACTCGTCACTATTTAATACGAGTCTCTCGTATCATTACCAGACCAATCATATACATTATGCTTAACTCCTTAAAAATAACGTGTAAAACAAGCATTAGCTGGAATGTCATGCATAAACTGATAATGCATTGTAATAAGATCTTGTTTTGTAAAACAAAGAAATAAAACACCACAAGGTTATTAAGTGGGAAGGAACTTGATTGTTTTATTATTGCAAGCTGAAACATATGTTTATTATTTGATCTTAATATAAAGTTTAATGTTTTTTTAGACGATTGACTAAGTAAATAAAAAACAATAATTAGGCAAACAATACTATAATCTAGTCATAATTCTTTCTTGTATTTTAAAAAACAGGTAGGCTTGAATTCTTAAAACTAACAAAACATTACATTATTACCAATTTATGAACTTTCATCTGAATTATTCCTATTGATTATAAGGAGGAAATGTTTTACAAGAATGCAATCACTCATATGCTTGTTAGGTTTATCTAAAATGCTGATATCATAAGTTGTTTTATGTCCCATGTTTTCAGATTTTTCCATACATTTTTACTCTAAAACCTGTTTCAGTAGCGGTAGTGATAATCTGTTGTCTATCATAATTATCAGCTATTGCATTATTATTCACTTATCTTTCATATTTCTTGCCCTATTTTTAATATTTTATAATTCTTACAAATTCATTATTACATTTCTATCTAGTATAATAAAATTCTAATCAACTTTATATCTCTGTGCACATTAAAACAAAAATGATGAACTTAATTAGAGATTGAGATCTTGACTGCTTTCTAGACAAGAAATCAATATTCTCAGTAAATAAGGGTCTGTTTAATAAAACAATACAGTGCGAATCTGGGTTTACAATATTCAACTTTGGGGTTGCACTTGATTCCACATTGACATTTTTCAGATACAGAGCAATATTAAAAAATGCAATATTAAAAGCCATGTCAGCTAAATTCCACAGCCTATCACAAATAATGAAGCTTAAAGTTCAAGTCCTGTGCATACTTACAGTTAGAAATAAAATGAAAACAAAAGGTGATTGAACATATGTCCAAATGAACTGCCACATGACTTTTTTTATTGCTCTTGTAGACAAACGAGCATACGGCCCACCTGATGGTATGTGGTTACCGTCGCCCATTGACTTCAGCAATGCCAGGGGCAGAGCCAAACCATTGCCTACCATCCATACCAAAACTAGACCAAATATTGTAACTGTGATTCAATCTAGAGACTGTCAGGCTGTTGCATCAACTTATGACTATATAAGCTGATGCAATAGCTGCTTATAGTCTGTAATCTAAGTGCACACTAATATTCACAAAAACTAAACCAATGTAAATGAAGCTTACAATGTTCATTATTATAATATAGGTATGTAAGAATTAGCAATTGTAATTCTGATTCTGTATTATTAAAAAAAAACTACTGCCACTGTGTGAGGTAGCAACACAAAGAAAAAAAAAAACTAGAAAATGAGGAAATAATGCTGCTTATTGGTGTGTCAGATAGGAACAAGCTTGTTGTATTTTTCAATATCAGTGCAGGAAACCTTTACCATGACATAACTAATTTTTGTAAACGCCTACAATATACACTTCTTTCGCAATTTTTTAATAGAAAATATGTTCAAAAGACAGTGAGATCCATTAGAGCCCATTATAAACTATATTTTTGCTATAGAACAGTATAAAATGACGCGATTAAGTCTTTTAAAAATCTCTCTATCCATCGTGTTTGGTATTTCCGTCAACACCGGATGCTCGAAAGTGGTATATCAGGTTATGGCAATTGGTTTGCCGCGCTTTTTGGAATGGCGGTTCTAATGTAGGTACCTATGTTTTTTTACGCGCGCGATAATGACAACCTACAAGCTAACAATTTTGTTGTTACGTACATGTATCGCCTCTTTGTTTCATAGTAATTTTAAATGTGAGGTCGAATTTAAATACGATATACGTTAATAAAAAACGAAAGTGCTACTTAAGCCTTGTTCGGACTAGGCGAGTATTTTAGTCGAGTACCGAGTAATTTAGTAGCTAAATGTGTCTGAGCACAAAAAATTTTGTCGAGTCATCATCATCATCATGCTTTCCTATTACCCTCTGCTGGGGTGTAGGACTCGAATCAAATTTTTCCATTTATATCGGTCTTGGGCAGTCTGTTCTAGCTCCTCCCACGTCATGCCCAAGACCCCTAGCTCCTGCTCCACCGAGCGACGCCAAGTTGTTCTGGGGCGGCCTCTCTTCCTTTTACCAGACACTTTCCAGGTCAGTGCTCTCTTTGATAGGTGTGTATCGGGCTTTCTCAAAGTGTGACCAATCCAATGCNCACCGAGCGACGCCAAGTTGTTCTGGGGCGGCCTCTCTTCCTTTTACCAGACACTTTCCAGGTCAGTGCTCTCTTTGATAGGTGTGTATCGGGCTTTCTCAAAGTGTGACCAATCCAATGCCACTTCCGCGTAAGGATCTCCTTCTCCATTGGTGTCTGCTTAGTGATCCTCCACAGCTCTTTGTTAGTGATCTTCTCAGGCCAGAAGATTTTCAAAATCTGACGGAGGCACTTTAAATTTAGTCGAGTAGGTTAGTAAATAATTTAGTCAAGTCAATCCATTTTTTTTCTATTTTTTCGGGCGAGTAGCGAGTAGTTTAGCCACTAAATTACTCGGTACTCGACTAAAATTACTCGCCTAGTTCGAACAAGGCTTTAGAGATTGTTCGTTTAAGTATTTTTATCCTTTAGTTTATGTATGACAATAATCGTTAAAAAATTAGTAATACCAGGAAACCATTGGTGAAAAATTAGCACTTTGAATCCTAGATAAACCGAATCTAAATAAGGGTTAGTGTTGCAAAATCTGCAATAATAAGCACGCGTAAGATATTTCGATTCGAAACTCTGAAATTAGCAAGATTTCGGCACAACGCCAACTGGGCTGCGTAGGCGTTGCTCATAAAATTACGAACTCGAGTCGATTGAAAAGAAATACAGTATCGGCTTTAGAATCACTCTGTGTTCGATGATCCATCGGTTATTGAGTTTTGGTCCGACAGTTAACAAATTCTGTTTATTCGGATGATTGAGGTTTTAATAGTTGATACGGGCCAAAATATTTAAAGCCCTAGAAAAGCTAGCTCTTTATTTACTGGTGGTAGGACCGCTTGTGAGTCCGCACGACAAATATGTAGATATCTGAACCTACTCATAACTAAATAAATTATATACTGTACATGAAGTCGTCGTGGCCTAAAGGATAAGACGTTCGGTGCATTCGTATCTAGCGATGTAACGGTGTTCGAATCCCGCAGGTGGGTACCAATTTTTCTAATGATATACGTACTTAACAAGTGTTCACGATTGACTTCCACAAGAATAACATAATTGCGTGCGTAATTACTGTTGGTAGGACCTCTTGTGAGTCCGCACGGGTAGGTACCACCACCCTGCCTATTTCTGCCGTGAAGCAGTAAATGCGTTTCGGCTTGAAGGGTGGGGCAGCCGTTTTAACTATACTGATAGACCTTGGAACCTACATCTCAAGGTGGGTGGCGCATTTACGATGTAAATATCAATGGGCTCCAGTAATCACTTGACACCAGGTGGGCTGTGACACGTCCACCCATCTAGGAACTAAAAAAAATTAAATTCTGTTTAGACACTTATCGGTATAGAGCGGTTGTGATGGTGCTATACAATGTGCGCCTTTGTTAACGAAAATGCTATACTGATTCCACTATGATCCACTGTTCTCGTAATACCGCTAATACCCGGAAATGTTGATGCATAACAAGGATTGTGATGTCCGAATATTAAAACTAGAAAAATGAACGTACTTTAATTATTTTTAAAATAACGCGTATGGCTTAACAAATTCATCTCCAATTTTGAAACAATAAATCATAGATAAATATACTTTTATTCCTATAAATGAGTAGAAGAAGCTTACAGCCTTTGCGCTTTAATGTTTGTATTTCCTTTTTTTTTTTGGTCTCTGAGTTGAACCGACTAAAACCTCCTGTTGCTCAACAACAAGCATCCAAACCTCGCAAGAGACAGAACTCATGAAAAGGCAAAGGGGGAAAGTATGTATGTATTTACTACGGTAATTTGTCCAAAGACACCAACCACAGCGGCGCGGCGCGGCCTCTAATTTATATACATATAGAAAAATGTGCAACGCGTTGTAGACGTAGACGTAAACATTTTTTTGTTTGTTGTATAATCTGAGAGTACTGAAGATGTAATTTGTACTAAATAAATAAAAAAAGACATAAAAAAACCGATACGATTTGTACAAAGCGAACAGCACTGTTCTTCCATGAACTGTGGCTCTGTAAGAAACAAGTAGGTACGTGCCTGTCGATATTTTCCATATTTTATTTATTTATAATGTTAAATATATTTCTAAAATCCATATCTTCTATCTTCTCTTCGATATACATAGATAAAAATGAATTGCTGTTCGTTAGTCTCGCTAAAACTCGAGAACGGCTGGACCGATTTGGCTAATTATGGTCTTAAATTATTTGTGGAAATCCAGAGGTTTAAAAGGTAAATAAATATGATGCATATAAATGCTCAGAATTAAATAAAAATAACAATTTTTTTCCTTTGATGTGTACCCCGTCGCGTCGGACGGATTTTTATTTTATACAAAAGTTTAGGTCTTTTATTTATCGATTGAGGCACTACGAAGTCTGCCGGGTCAGCTAGTATTAAATATATTTCTAAAATAATTAATATTTATATCATTAGGTACAGACGCCACGCGTTCTGCCGTCTCGATTGATTTACATCCATATTGTTTCAGTACATTGCGTTA